AGAAGCAGCAGTCAAGAAATAAAAAGACACATTGCACTGGGCATATCTGCTGCAGAAGACTTCTTGAAAATATTGAAAAACAATGATATCACTTTGAGGACTAAGGTGCCCCTGACCCAAGTCACGGTATTTTCAATAGCCTTATATGCATGTGAAAGCTAGACAATGAATAGGGGAAACAGAAGAATTTATGTCTTTGAATTATGGTATTGGCAATGAATATTGAATATACCATGGACTGCCAAAAGAATGAATAAATCTGTCTTGAAAGAAGTACATCCAGAATGCTCATTAGAAGCAAGGATGGCAAGACTTCATCTTATGTACTTTGGACATGTTATCAGGAGGGATAAATCCCTGGAGGACATCTTGCTTGTAAGGTAGAAGGTCAGCAAAAAGAGGAAGAACCTCACCAGTATGGATTGACACAGTGGCTGCAATGATGGGCTCAAGTGTAACAGTGATTGTGAGGATGGCGCAGGACCAGGCAGTGTTTCATTCTGTTGTACATGGGATCGCTATGAATCAGAATTGACTCCACAGCACACAACAATCTTTATGGGAGCAAATCGCCAGGTCTCTTCTCCCATGGAGCGGATAGTGTGTTCCAATCACCAACCTTTCAAATGCTTAACCACTACACCACCAGGGCTCCTTATCAATCAAACAAGAAGAAATAAAACTGTTTTTATTTGCAGATGACACGCTGGTCTATGTATAAAATCCAAAGAAATCTACAAAAAAAACTCCTAGAATAAGTGAGTTCAGCAAGGTCACAGGAGTCAAGCTAAACATACAAAAACCAATTGCATTTCTATATATGAGGAAGGAATATATGGAAACTGAATTAAAAATACAATTTACAAACCTAAAAAAAATTATTAGGCATATATCTAAAAAAAAAAAGTATCAAACGTGTATGCTACACTCTGTAAAATACTGACGAAAGAAATCAATGATCTAAATAACTGAAGAGATATTAGGGTTGAAGGACGGTAAGACAACATAGTAAAGATGTCAATTCACCCAAATTAATATATAGTTTTAATGCAATTCCTATCAAAATTCCAGAAAGATTTTTTTATCTACAGACAACATTGTTCTAAAATTTATATGAAGAGGCAAAGAACTAGAATAGCCGAAACAATTCTGAAAATGAATCAAGTGGGAGTAAATACTCCACCTGATTTCAAGATTTTGAGTATATCGCTACAGTAATCAGGATTGTGTGGTAGTGGCAGAAGAATGGAAACACTAATCAATGGAACAGAATAAAGAACCGAGGAATAGTCTACCCAAGTATGACCAACTGATTTTCAACATATGTGCAAAAGTAATTCAATGCAGGGAAGATTAAGACTTCTTCAACAAAAGGTGCTAGAGCAACTAGATATCCACAGTCAAAAAAAAAAAAAAAAATTAGCCTTGACCTAAACTGCATACCCTATATAAAAATTAACTCAAAATCGATCAGATACTTAAATGTAAAACATAAAACTGTATAACTTTTAGGGTATAATATAGGAGAAAGTCTTCAGGACCCATGGCTTAGTGAAGAGCTTTTAAGTACAACACCAAAAGCACAATCAATAAAGGGAAAAAAAAAATTGTTAAATTGGACTTCATCAAAATTAAAAACTTTTGAGCTGTGAGAGACTCTGTTAAGAGGATAAAAAGACAAGCTAAAGACTGGAAAAAAAAATATGCAAACCATATATTTAAAAAGGACGAACATGTAGAATATGTAAGAACACTTAAAACACAATGTTAGAAAAACAATCCAATTATAAATGGGCAAAGAACATATAAAAAAACAGTTGTTCTCAAGGCAATTCCAACTCATGATGACCCTATGAGTCAGAGTAGAACTGTGCTCCACAGGGTTTTCAATGGCTGATTTTTTGAAAGTAGATTGCCAAGCCTATCTTCCAAAGCCACCTCTGGATGGACCTGAACCTCCAACTTTTCAGTTAGTAGCCAAGTGTGTTAAATATTTGCACCACCCAGGTACCCCTAAAGAGGATATGCTGATTGCAAATAAGCATATGAAAATAGGTTCAACATTGTTAGCCATTAGGGAAATGTAAATTAAAACCATAAGGAGATATCACTATATATCTATCAAAATAGCTAAAACAAAAAATAGTGACAATACCAATGTTTGTAAAGATGCAAAGAAGGAGGAAGGAGGAATTTCTCATACATTGCTAGTGGGAATGTAAAATGGTACAGCTACACTGGAAAACAGTCTTGCAGTTTCTTTAAAAAACAAACATATATGGAATCCAGACTTTCTGGAGCCATGGAGGCTGGATGAACCGCTGAACTATTGCCCTGAGATAATCCTTAAACCAAAAACGACATCTTTAAATTAAAAAAAAAAAAAATAGTTTAGCTTACCTAATAAAGAATGTCTGCCTTGCGCATCATGCCCTTTTAAGATCTGTCTATATGGGATCAAACTGACAACAGCAACTCAAAAGATTATAGGAAACTTAGGGGTAGTGTTAATGTTGTCAGGTGCCACCAAGTCAGTTCTGACTCGTTGCAACGCCATGTACGACAGAACAAAAAACTGCCCAGTCCTGCGCCATCCTCACAATTATTGTTGTGTTTGAGCCCACTGTTGCAGTAACCGTGTTAATCCATCTCGTTGATGATCTTCCTCTTTTTTGCTGAACCTCTGCTTTACCAAGCATGACGTCCTTCTCCAGGGACTAGTCTCTACTGATCACGTCCAAAGTATGTGAGACAACGTCTCACCATCCTTGTTTCCAAGGAGGATTCTGGCTGTATCTCTTCCAAGACAGATTTGTTCATTCTTCTGGCAGTCCATAACATATTCAATATTCCTTGCCAACATCACAGTTTGAATGCATCAGTTCTTCATCTGTCTTCCTTTTTCATTGTCCAGCTTTCACACGCATATGAGGGAGCTGAAAATACCATGGCTTGGGTCAGGTGCACCTTAGTGTTAAAAAGTGACATCTTTGCTTTCTAACACTTGAAAAAGATCTTTTGCAGCAGATTTGCTCAATACAATACACTGTTTGATTTCTTGAGTGTTGCTTCAATAGGCATTGACTGTGGCTCCAAGTAAAATGAAATCCTTGACAACTTCAGTATTTTCTCTGTTTATCATGATGTTGCTTATCGGTCTAGTTGTGAGGATTTTCATTTCATGTTGTGGTGTCTTGTCTGTTTTATGTTGAGGTGACTTGTCTGTCAATTTGTCATACTGTGGTGACTCGTGTGCTGCTATGATGCTGGAAGCCATGCCACCAGTATTTCAAATACCATTGGGGTCACCCATGGTGGACAGGTATCATCAGATCTTCCAGACTAAGACAGACTAGTTAGAAGGACCTGGGGATCTACTTCCGAAAAAAAAAAAAAAAAAATTAGCCAGTGGAAACCTTATGGATAGCAGCGAAACGTTTTCTGATATAGTGGTGGAAGATGAGCCCCTTAGGTTGGAGGCACTCAAAATACAACTGGGGCGTAGAGCGGACTTTAATAATGTGGGTGGAGTAAAGCTTTCAAGGCCTTCATTTGCTGATGCGGCACATTCAAAATGAAAGAAACAGCAGTAAACATCAGGAAGCAGTGAATTTATGTTAACGGGAGGAACAACTCAGAAAAGGAAGATGAGAATGGTTACACAACTCAAAGAATGTAATCAATGTCACTGAACTGTACATGTAGAAATTGTTGAAGTGGTGTATGTTCTGCTGTGTATATTCTCAACACAAAAATAGATTACAATAAATACACAAATATATTCTTACCACACAACCCAGTGATAGCACTCCCAGGCATTTATCCCAGAGAAAAACAAAAACTTAGGTCCACACAAAAACCTGTACATGGTTGTTCATAGCAGTTTTATTTGTAATAGCCAAAAACTGGAAATATCCAAAAAAACTTTCAACAGGTATATGGTTATACAAACTGTGGTTCATCTATACCATGAGATACTACTCAATAATAAAAAAGAACTAAACTATTGATATATGTAACAACTTGGAATGGATCCCAAGGGCATTATGTTGAGTGAAAAAAGTCAGTCTCAAAAAGTTATATCCTATATGATTCCATTTATAACAGTCTCAAAATGAAAAAATTAGAGATAGAGAAGAGATTAGTGGTTGCCAGGGGTTAGGGATAGGTGGTTGGGGTGGCGAGGGGTACTGGGTGTAACTATAAAAAAGGGTAACACAAGGAAGATCTTTGTCATGATGGAATAGTTCTGTATCTTGCTCGTAGTGGTAGTTACAGGAAATCTACACGTGTGAAAAAATGGCAGAGAACTACACACATACCATACCAATGTCAAATTCCCAATTTTGATATTGTATTATAATATGTAAGGTGCAACCACTGGCGGAAACTGGGTGTAGGATACACAAGATCTCTCTGTACTATCTTTTCAACTTCATGTGGCTCTATAATTATTTCAAAATAAAAAATTAAAAATAATTTAAAAAACTATCGGATCTGACATACAATAAATTTCTAAAGGATTCCTTACGAGGGAAAAAAACACCCACCTATTAAATCTGTGTGACCTGACAAAAATAAGTCTGTTTGCTCCATAATTTCTATTTTTTGTTTTGGGGAGAGGGAAAGGAGTTATTTTTAAAACCAGGTTTCAAAAAAACCTTGCTGATGTTTACAATCTTCCAGCTGAGAAATTTTATCATTATTGTTTTAAGAACAACAAAAGTAGATGGCACTGCTTATGTGAAGGCATTAACAAATTAAAACGAACACTTTAAATATACCTAGCTTTGGCTGCATATTATGTTTCTTCAGAGAGTAATTCCATAGCTAGTTATGGCTAAATCTAAATATATTCTAATTAATTCTAAGGAGTATGTCTTCTTAGAATTAAGTACGTGTGTATATATATATATGTATATATATATATACACACACACACATATATATACATACATATATAGTAAGCTTTCACTTTTTTAAATACAAAAAATGTGCAATAGCAACAAAATGGAAACAAAAATGAAAAAGGCCACTTAAAATAATAAAACATAATACACCTCAAAATGTTTAAATAATTTCAAGCATTTACTTGAGATATTTCAATACCAGTAAAAAATATACACACAAATTCTTCAACTAGCCAGTATTTTAATAATCCACAAAATCAATAAATATATAAAAAGTGCTTTCACCTCCTGTTACCACCTAAAATAATACATAGTTTTCAAGAATGTGTTCTTTGACTTCTAACCTCTGCTCTTCTTTAGAATTACCTGGGAGGGGAAATAAAAGAAGATTCATATTATACCAGTGGCAAGCATTATACCTGCGGCAAGTCAAGCAAACCTTCAACAAAAGGTTCAAGTCCTATGTGCATAATATGCAAAACTCAATTTGGAAGGTGATTAGGGGATATGTTGCCTTACAAACAGCCTTCTCTAAATAGTCTACTTCTCTCAATGAATGATTCTCAAAATCTAGTTTACTTTTGGTTAGCAGCCAAGTGATAACTGTTGCACCACCTGGGCTCCTTTTAACAACTATAAAGCAGTACAAATCCACTGCAACATCAAATTTCTTATATTTTGGCCAGAATTCTATCAATTTGGGGACCAAGACCAGTCATTTTATGCTGAATACCTTGTTAGGTGGGTAATTTCCAAAACATAGAGCCCATGGAATAAATAAAACAAAAGGCTTAAAGCATTAGACCAGAATATCTCCAAACTGTTTAAAGAACTTACCTATTACTTTATGTAAGCATACCAATAGTTTACTAATAAAAACAAACAACCAAACCAAAACCAAGCCCATTTCTGTTGAGTCAATTCCAACACATAGTGACCCTATAGGATAGAATAAAACTGCCCCATAGAGTTTCCAAGGCTGCAATCTTTATGGAAGCAGACTGCCACATCTTTTCCCCATGGAGCGGCTGGTGGGTTTGAACTGCTGACCATTAGGTTAGCAGTCTAGCACTTTATTCACCGTGCCACCAGTAGTCCTAAAAACAAACAAACAAATTCTAAATTTGAAATGCATATACACACTCTTCGGGCTCTTATGCCTCATTTTGCCTGCAAAAAAATATGACATTGACCTTAATAGACTAGAAACGTGTTGAAATGTTTATATTTGCAAGAGAATATGAAGCCCCTAAAAAGTGCCAAGGTACACATATTCCTAGACTTCCACAGAGGTGCTGTTGACTCATACTGACCCCATGTGACAGAGCAGAACTGGACCATAGAGTTTTCTTGGCTGTAATCTTTACGGGAGCAGATTGCCAGGTCTTTCTTCTGCAGACCCGCTGGGTGTGTTTGAACCACCAACCTTTCGGTTAGCAGCCGAGCGCTTAATCATTGTGCCACCAGGCTCCTTCTCTGTTCTTCAGAATGTTAATATAGATACTTCAAATTATAGTATTATATACTCAAATAAATTTACAAAATGCTGAATTAAACAAAGTTCAACAATTTTTTTTTTTTAATACTATAGTCCTCTAACCTTTTATAGTAATATACATTGTAAACATTGTAAATATTCAAAAAGGAGGTATAGCATGTTAGGCTACCTATATTTATCTGATCACAGAAACTTTTGTGGTGGGCCATCTATTAACATCTCTTGGAACTGATGTTCTCAGGAACACATTTAGAAAATTTTGCCCTAGGCATCATACCCTTACGTGGCAATACCAGTAAGAAGCAATCTCCTCTGATTATATAAGAAATTTGATTCATAAGTCACCAAAATAGCAAAACAAAGTTAGAAAATTAGATAATAAATAATTAGGATCATTTAAAACAATCAAGAACAAAGTAAGTTTTGATAATTTCAAGGTGATAAACCTTCTCTACTATGTACAAACCGAACTCGCTGCCATCAAGTTGGTTCCGACTCATAGCGACCCTACAGGACAGAGTAGAACTGCCCCATAGGGTTTCCAAAGAGCACCTGGTGGATTCAAACTGCCGACCTTTTGGTTAGCAGCCATAGTTCTTAACCACTATGCCACCAGGGTTTCCATCTGCTATATACAGCCTCCTATAATTCTATTCGCGGAGCCCTGGTGCTACAGTGGTTAAGACCTATGGCTGCTAACCAAAAGGTCGGCAGTTTGAATCCACCAGCTGCTCCTTGGAAACCCTGTTGGAGCAGTTCTACTCTGTCCTATAGGGTTGTTATGAGTTGTAATACACTCAGCAGCAACAGGTTTTTTTTTTGTTTTGTTTTGTTTTTGGTATAATCTCATGAGGAGCCCTGGTGGTGCAGTGGTTAAGCACTCAGCTGCTAACTGGAAGGTTGGCAGTTGGAACCCACTAAACACTCTACAGGAGAAAGATGTGGCAGTCTGCTTCCATGAAGACTATAGCCTTGGAAACACTATGGGATAGTTCTATTCTCTACTATAGGGTCAGTATAAGTCGGAGTCGACTTGCCAACAATGGGTTAAAAAGTTTATAATCCCACAGATAAACAGTCAAAAATTAATTTCTCCCTAAATGATGATAAATCAGTAGCTATAAATCCTTCTATCAGAAATCCATAATATACATACAGGGAAAAAAATCGAACTCCATAAATAAAATCCACTAACATGAAAAGCCAAGCTTCCAGTCAGTCAACCAAGCTGAATGAGGAATCCAAATATGAACCAGGTGATATTTTGAAGTTAATTCTTGCTCAAGAAAAGAAATTCAGATTTTTACCTTTGCTGCAGCCAAGACATGCTCCTTTTTAATTGTTCCACACTTACTCTCACAAGCATTTATCCTGGACTCTTCTGCTAATCGATGAACAAACAGTAAACAGTTCAGATGAACCTTTAAAAGAGAAAATTTAAAAGAATTTTTAAACTCAAACACTGATGCTTTGAAATAATGACTTTTAAAATTAAAGGATCCCCAAATTTACTTTATACTATTTACAACAATAAATCACAAAGAGGCGATTAAGTCATTTAACTCTTCTATTTAATGCTATATAGGATCTGCTTTAATATATATCCATCTTAGAGTCCATAAAAAGAAACTTACTCATTTCAGTATATGAAACAAGGCTATGTAAGGCAAACCAAAGGCATAGGCAATAACATTACTATAAAGCATCATTATATATCAAAACTTATGTAGGACTCTTTATTAAGAAACATTCCTGCTTTATATATCATAAATTTATAATATAATTTTAAATTTCCAGAAAATTTAAAATAAAAACACATTAAATATATTTTAACTAATTGTTTTTATTCTATAATCTAAGATCTAAAAATATTTTAATTAGATATTTAACTTGAAATATCTATTTACAAATGTTAATGAAATTATAATTTGCTGAATTGAAAAGTCTATGTACAAAACTCATCTTATTATCTGAAAACTATCATAAATAATCATATTTACCATTAATAACCTTTAAGGGTCTTTTTAAAAAACTATTTTAAAATTATTCAAAAGCCTATAAAGGACTATAGTTACATAAGATGTAATCATTGTGGGAAGCTGGGTGAAGGGTACCGGGGAACTCTGTACTATTTTTATAACTTTTTGCGTGTCCATACTTATTTCTAAATACAAATACTAAAACAAAAAGTCCACAAAGTGAGTAAGTAGAGCACAGGGCATTTTAAGGGTAGCAAAACAATTTTGCATGATAGTGGCAGATACATGTCATTATTTATTTGTCAAAACCCACAGAACTGTACAACACAAAGAGTGAACCTTAATGTAAACTACCAAAACCAAACCTGTTGCCATGGAGTCCATTCTGACTCATAAGTTAATAATAATGTATCAACATTTGTTCACCAATTGTAACAAATGTTATCACAATAACGCAAGATGTAAATAATAGGAGAAATTAGGTACAGGGAGGAAAGAAGGCATATGGGAACTCTCTGTACTTTCTGGGCAATTTTTCTGTAAACCTAAAACTGCTCTAAGCAATAAAATGTATTGGAAAAAAAAAAGTCTACAAGGAGATGCTGCTGTTATGTGCCATCTAGTAGATTCTGACACATAGTGACCCAATGTGACAGAGTAGAACTGCCTAATAGGGTTTCCTATGCTGTAATCTTTATGGGAGCAGATTGCCAGGTCTTTTCTCCTGCAGAGCTACTGGTAGGTTTGAACCACTCCCACTTTCAGTTAGCAGCCAAACACTATCAGGGCTCCTTTACAAAGAGGTAGACTATCAAAAATAAGTCTCTCTCTCCCATCATCCCCCAGTTAACCATGGTTGCCAGTTTCTTGTATATTCTTGCAGAAACAAGCTCCACATATAAGCAAAAACATATATAAAATTATTCCTCATTCTATCCTCCACTATCTGGATATGCACAGTAAGTTTGCTAAATATTTTACTGAAAATTCACTATGCAAACTGAAAAACTACCACATAATCTACATTCACATATCTGCGAAAACAGTTAAGGTACACACAATCCAAGCAGGAGAGAATGCAAAATGAACTTCAGTCCTATCTCAACTCTCCCTCTAGAATCATACTTAGTACTCCTTGATTTAAATTACTGCTAACATCTTGTCCATTATTTTCTTGAGAGTTCATTCTTCCTGGGTCCCAATCTTTGCTTCTGCCAGTTGCCTGAAGGCACTACCAACTCAGATCAAATTCCAGTGAGATAGTATCTCTAACATCTTTTTTTTTTTTTTGGCTATTTACATCATAGTACACTACGTTCTTTGCAATACTTTAATACTAAATATCTTCGTACAATCACAACCCCACAGTTCACTAAATGTTAAATAACTAGAAAACTTGATATTTTAACTGTTTTATATTATGCAGAAATCTTTAATGGATTGTTATATAAACTTAAGGGAAATTAGGGGTTTGTGATTTTAAATTTATTAAGATGAAGAACCTACAGAAGTAGATCTTTTGATACTTTTTTGATGCATTGTCTTCTTTAACTCTCACAAGACCTATGAGGTAAAGCACCCCGATTCTGATTCTTTCCATTACTATACCATTTCATTCAATTTTTATTAAAATTCCAATAACTCACTTCCTTCTGCAGCAAAAACATTCCATAATATGTCACAATTTTCATCTGTTAATCTTTATTTTCTGCTTCTAAAGATAAATAGCTTCCAGATACCCTCAGGTTAAATTCCTAATTCCTTAACTAAAAGCCACTTGGCTAGGCTTCTCCAGGTTACTCTCTCACCTTTTTCAGCCTCCAGTTCTCCACTAGGTCTTCTGAGCTTCTTTCAGTATTCAAATACAACCTTGCCTCCAGGCATCCTACTGCTTTACAGGCTTCCCTGAAAAGTCCAACTTCCCCCAATATTTAAGGTTATGCGGACTCCTGGCAATCTGAAGATCCTATCATTGTATGTACTACATTATACTGTAATTTTCCACTACTTATCTTCCTCAATATAGTATAAGAGCAAGAACTATGTCTATCTTCCTCAGCATTGTATTCCCAGTGACCTTTAGCTCATTGCTCAATATATAATAATCAAAACCAATAGTGAACCTATGGGACAGAGTAGAACTGCCCCATAGTAATCTTTATGGGAGTAGATTGCCACATTTTTCTCCCACGGAGCAGCTGGTAGGTTCGAACCATGAATCTTTTGGTTAGCAGCTGAGCACTTCACCACTGCACCACCAGGGCTCCTTCAATACATAACAAGTAGTCAATAATTTATTAAATGAGCAAAAGATGCCTCCATATCTTTTTTTTTCAATCAACACCCAATTTTTTTTTTTAATTAATCTCAAATAAACCACACTCTGTTGTAACACTTTGTTTATGCTACTAACCTACATGGAATGTCCTTTTCTCTCCATGGGTATGAGTAATGAGACAAATCAGGTTTTTTTTAAACAACCTATTCCTATGTTATTAAACAGTTGAGTGGTGCCACTCAAATGCACTAAGGTTTAAATTAAAACGGTAAGGAAAAACACAAGCTTCAAAGTATTTAGCTAGGCATTCAAAATTGAAAAAAAAATAAGCCATTCCATCAAGGATTTACTTCAAGGATTTACTTTAGGGGTAAAAAAACAGCTTGCTTGAAAGGTAAATCAAAAGGTAATTTACACACAATCTTTTCATCTTGACTATCTAAGTTGACCAAAAGAGGCCAGATTGACTTCCTCCCTTTGACAAAGTACTTTTGAATTTTATGTAAACCATAAATACGCGTTGAACACTAATGACCGAAGACCAGACCAACTGTGGAATGACATCAAGGACATCGAACATGAAGAAAGCAAGAGGTCATTAAAAAGACAGAAAAGAAAGCAAAGACCAAAATGGATGTAAGAGACTGAAACTTGCTCTTGAACGTCAAGTAGCTAAAGCAAACAGAAGAAATAATGAAGTAAAAGAGCTGAACAGAAGATTTCAAAGGGCAGCTCAAGAAGACAAAGTAAAGTATTACAATGATATGTGTTAAGATATGGAGACAGAAAACCAAAAGGGAAGGACGAGTCCCTATACCGAAAAGAACTGGTCGACATTCAACCATTTCAGGAGGGAGCATATGATCAGGAACCAATGGTAATGAAGGAAGAGGTCCAAGCAGCACTGAAGACACTGGCGAAAAACAAGGTTCCAGGAATTGACAGAATTTCAACTGAGATGTTTCAACAAACGGATGCAGCGCTGAAGCGCTCACTTGTCCATGCCAAGAAATTTGGAAAACAGCTACCTGGCCAACCGACTGAAAGAGATCCATATTTATGCCTATTCCAAAGAAAGGTGACCCAATAAAATGCGGAAATTATCGAACAATATCATTAATATCACACACAAGTAAAATCTTGCTGAAGAGCATTCAAAAATGGCTGCAGCAGTACATCAACAGGGAATTGCCAGAAATTCAAGCCGGATTCAGAAGAGGATGTGGAGCCAGGGATATCATTGCTGATGTCAGACAGTTCTTGGTTGAAAGCAGAGAATACCAGGAAGATATTTACCTGTGTTTCATTGACTATGCAAAAGCATTTGACTGTGTGGATCATAACAAATTATGGATAACATTGCAAAGAATGGGAATTCCAGAGCACTTAATTGTGATCATGAGGAACCTATACATAGATCAAGGGGCAGTCGTTCAAATAGAACAAGGGGATACTGCATGGTTTAAAGTCAGGAAAAGTGTGTGTCAGGGTTGTATCCTTTCACCATACCTATTCAATCTGTAATGCTGTGCAAATAATCTGAGAAGCTGGACTCTGTAAAGAAGAACAGGGCATCAGGATTGGAGGAAGACTCGTTAATAACCTGTGTTAGGCAGATGACACAACCTTGCTTCCTGAAAGTGAAGAGGACTTGAAGCACTTACTGATGAAGATCAAAGACCACAGACTTCAGTATGGATTCCACTTCAACATAAAGAAAACAAAAATCCTGACAACTGGACCAATAAGCAACATCATGATAAACGGAGAAAGGACTGAAGTTGTCACGGATTTCATTTTACTTGGATCCACAATAAACACCCATGGAAGCAGCAGTCAAGAAATCAAAAGACACATTGCATTAGGCAAATCTGCTGCAAAAGACCTCTAAAGTGTTAAAAAGCAAAGATGTCACCTTGAAGACTAAGGCATGCCTGACCCAAGTGTTTTCAATCACCTCATATGCATATGAAAGCTGGATAATGAATACACAAGACCTAAAAAGAATTGATGCCTTTGAATTATACTGTTGGTGAAGAATACTGAATATACCACAGACTGCCAAAAGAACGAACAAATCTGTCTTGGAAGAAGCACAGCCAGAATGCTCCTTAGAAGCAAGGATGGCGAGACTACGTCTCACATATTTTGGACATGTTATCAGGAAGGACCAATCCCTGGAGAAGGACATCACGCTTGGTAAAGTAGAGGGTCAGCGAAAAAGAGAAAGACCCTCAATAAGATGGACTGGCACAGTGGCTGCAACAATGGGCTCAAGCATAACAATGATAATGATAATGGCGCAGGATTGAGCAGTGTTACGTTCTGTTGTACATAGGGTCACTATGAGTTGGAACCAAATCGATGGCACTTAACAACAACATCATCATAAATACTCAGGTATTCGCATAGCATTCCTTCCTCTGTAATAACTCTAAAAGCTAACTGAGCCACATGAAATCAGAACAATTTATTTAGATTTAGCAAATGTAATCACAGGTACTGGCCCTGGGGACACACATACAACAACAAACACACAATCAAATAGGCATAAAACAACAACAAAAAGCCAGTGCAGAAGAACTGTAAAATAACACAAAAGAAATTATGTGTAAACTGCTAGAAATGACAACAATCAATCCACATGTAATTACCATGCATTTCCAACATTAATTGTATACTCAGAATTGTATACTCAGGATATTGTACTAAACACTAGTACGATTCAAAGTTCCCAGTCTACTGAGAGAATCAAACCCATAAAGAAAGTAGAAACAAATGTCTGACAATAAACTATAAAGAGGAAGGATAAGGTTCATCCTTCCTAAGGAGATTAAGGAAGGCTTCATGGAGTAAGTGGCATTTGAACTGGATTTTGAAAGAAGAATTGGAGTTTGCCAAGTGGAATCGTGTCAAAAGACAGCATAAAAGTAGCTTAGTTTTGTGTTAAAGATAATGGGAGATACAAAAGGAGTACAAGATATAGTTCCTTCCCTTAAAGAAATTATATACCACACTGGAGACAACATCAACATATAACACTCCTAGAAAACAGTGTTAGAGTGCCAATAGCTAAATTGTAGGATGTACACTCTTACGGCTGGAAAAAATTCCAAAAAAGTAAGAGATCAAACAGACTGTTTTAATTACAGAAAGCTTCATGCACGATGTGGGACATCTGCTGGGTAAGATTATGAAGTGTCAATAACAAGCATAAAACCATAAGAAAAAAACCAGGGTAGATGACTGGCATACAGGACAATGAAGGAGAATTAATCAAAGCGACAGAAGGCAAGCATACCACCTGGGAATAGCCAGTGGCCAAAAGCAACCATTGCAGCTGCTTGGAATTTCATTTCCCCTTCCTTTTCATGCCAGTTGGATCCCACCACATCATGGAGCCCCATCTGCTTGTGGGCCACTCTGGGGGCAGAGAGAGGTGCCTCAGAAGAAAGGCCTGGCAATCTACTGTCAAAAAATCAGCCACTGAAAACCCTATGGAGCACAGTCTAGTCTGACACACATGGGGTCGCCATGAGTCAGGATTGACTCCGTGGGAACGGGTAGAGAAAAGAGGAGGTGGAAAAAATCAGGCATCTTAAGAACAGCTATAATCATGCACTCCCAAGACATTCTCCATGCAGTATGCCCTTGTTACCTACAAATCCTTACCTTTATCTCCTGGAGGATGTTTCCTATGGTTTAAACCTAGCAATATGGTGTCCATTCAGCTAGAGGTATTTGTGTTCTAAGCATTCAACACATAAATTCTGAGTTTATTTCAAGATAGAAAGATTATTATAGAGTGGTTTGGTTGGGTTATTTTTCAGCAGAGCACTATGCTTCATGCACCCAACAACAATTCTTCATGATTTCATTTCCACACAGATGATCCTTCCACTTCTTCTGCCTCCCATTTCCAAGACCTCCTTTCTGCCTCTGATCTTGTCTTCTACCCTACGAGCCATTCAATACCGTGGTCATACACTGCTGTTGTTGTGTGCCCTCGAGCGCATTCCGACTCATAGCAACCCTATGTGACAGAGTAGAACTGCCTCATGCGGTTTCCTAGACTGTAATAGTTAAGGACGATCCCGGCTGGCGCAGTGGTTAAGAGCTACAGCTGCTACCCAAAACACGGTCGGCAGCTCGAATCCACCAGCCGCTCCTTGGAAACCCTCTGGGGCAGTTCCACTCAGCCCTACAGGGTCGACTATGCGTCGGAATCAACTCGAGGGGAACAGGTTTGGTTCAGTTTTTGGAACAGTTAAGGAAGCACATCGCTAGGTCTTTTAATTATGGATCAAATAAACAGACGTTAGCGGTCTTGCCTGAAAATTGAACAAATAGGTATTCTCTTACTTGTCTTGGAAAAGAAATTCACAGTTGAAAATGTTTTACTTACAAATAAATTTGTGGAACAGTAGAAGAAATATGGAAATATGTTTAGTTAGCAACGTAAAAAGAGAGAGAAGGGAAGAAGGGAAAGAGGGAAGTGCTTAAAAGGCATGTCAGTACGCCTTTTACAATAGTTAAATAAAAATGACCCAGCTTGAACTTCAAAATCTAGTTTTAAAAGAATGTATCTTTCATAAGGACACTAAGCACAGTGGGAAACTGTGCTCTTGAACAGTAGTATTTAAACACTGTAAGCGAGAACTTTATGTTAATTTTTTCAAGCTGATGTGCCTAATAGCCTTCCTTTCAAAAGGTCCAGATAGCTACATTTCAGCGGTCCCCCGAGCAACTAAACGCCAGGAATATAAACTGACGTGCCAGTCTGGGACAAACCTACTAGTCATTGCTGGAAATGCCTTAAACGTCGGCCTGAAAGGGCTATAGATTGGCTGGAGGCGGTGAAACAAAGGCTGGGGGTTATTTCCCCTACTTTCTCCTCCCCACACACAGCCCAAGGAGAATGGAATCTCACCAATAAGTCGCCATTAGTCTCCAAACGCAGGTGAGGCTTCTGTCGCTTCATGGCGCGTTTTAGAAACCCGCGAGGAGCCTTTCGCTTTATCTTCTTCCTTTGGGGGACTATAGTCGAGAGCGCCATTTTTCCCCTCAGGTACCAGCTGCCTCAGCTTCCGAGGTACCTCCGCACTACACAGACGCAGCCGCCAGCTGAGGCAGGGAAATATAACCCAAGTACTCCGACTTTTCTTCAGGAACAGAGGCACAGAGCCGACCGTTTGAATTCGCCGCCAACGGATCGTACCGGGCGCTCCGCAGTGACGTCAGCAGGACGCAAACCCCGCCCCCCGGAGGCGTCGGCTGTAGGCTTGAAAAAGCCAGCGATGGGCGGGTCTACGGCAAGCGGTGAGGCTTCCTTTAATGCCTGTGGTTTGCGTCTGCTGTAAAGAGCTGTTTTTTCTATCTTCCCTAAAAATATTCAGAAAGTGTAGAGAGATTAGTTATTATACCAAGCTCTCACTCTGTACTGTAGCTAATACCAAGTAGATGAATAGAAAGGCATTTGTGATGTTTTATCAGGATTCCCAAAAAACTAATGCCTTCATAGTAAGCTTGACTTTCTGATATTAACAGCTAACAATTTGCTGCACTTTTACATAATCCAGTTGATCCTAACTGAGGCCTTTTCGTGATTCTAGCTTTTGTTTACAAATGTAATTTTAAGGCCCCTTCCACTTAACCTTGCAGTATCTTCAAGGAGTATTTCAAATGCTACTTCTTTGAAGCCTTTGCTACTTCTCTAAGCAAATAACTTCTCTACCTTCTGTGCTACTATGGAAGTAGTTCTCAAACAGCAGTGTGCGTTAAAATCATCTGGAGAGCTTGTTAATACAGTTTGTAGGGCGACACTCCCAGCCCCCAGAGTTTCTGTCTGACTAATAGGCTCTGGTGAGGTTCCAGAATTTTCATTTCTAACAAGTACCCAGGCTATGTTGTTACTGCTAGTCTGACAACCACTCTTTGAGATCCACTGGGACTTTAATTGTTATTGCCTGTACTAGTACTGTTACTGTATTTCTGGTGGTGCAAGGTTAAGCATTTGACTGCTAACTGAAAGGTTAGCAGTGGCAGGAGAAAGACTTGGCAATCTGCCTCCATAAGGATTACAGCCTAGAAAACCCTATGTGGTAGTTCTACTGTATCACGTGCGGTCTCTGTGAGTTGGAATCAACTTGATGGCACCCAACATCAACAATAATTCTTTACGATTTCATTTCTACACAAATGATCCTTCCACTTCCCTGCCTCCCATTTCCAAGACCTCCTCTCTGCACCTGATCTTGTCTTCTACGCTATGAGCCGCTTACTACTATAGTTATATACTGTTGTTGTTGTGTGCCCTCGAGGCCATTCTAACTGATAGTAACCCTATGTGACAAAGTAGAATTGTCTCATAGTGTTTTCTAGGCTATAATCTTCATGGGAGCAGACTGATAGGTCTTTTCTCCCTCAGAGCGTCTGATGGGTTCCAAATGCTGACCGTTCAGTTAGCAGCCTAGCACTTGACCATTGCACCACTAGGGCTACTGGTCATATACTAAGCCTTGTCATTACCAAATACCATCTACTCAATTTAATCATCTCATTTTTTGACCCCTACCACCTATCTTTTGAATTTACTTCCTCCTATAACCCAAGATACCATGAAGATCTCTGTCTTCTATTTTTCTGTCCCCTATACCCCCAACCCACTCCTTACTCTCCCTCCTGTAATCCACTGTGCTTCTTTATCATATTCACTTGCATTTCTGCTCATCTCTCTAGTAATTCTTTCTTCCCTATACTTACCTGACAAAACCCCATCCCTACTTCAGTTAAAATCTCAACCCATTCTATGCTTGAATCTGTGTATTGATATTGGCTTAAGAAAAAACATAGGCGGGGGAGGGGCAACAAGATGGCAAAATGAGTGGATATTCTCATTTACTCCCCCAACAACTAACATGCTGAACAATGAATAAAAACAAGCACAGGCTGATATCTCAGAACTCTAGACAGCAGCTGAGATATTGGAGAGTCGAGATGAGTACAGAAGTGAGGAAGAGAAGGAACAGGGTCAGCACAGAAGCCAAAAGATCCTATCCACTAACATAGGGAGCACTCACTCATCACAGCCATTTTGGGATGGGGCTGGGTGACATTCCAAACAGGGAACACAGAAAAGGAGCTAATCTGTTTTTTCTTAAGGTGGCCCAAATTGGCTGTGGAAATTTATGGGCCACGCAATTAGGAGGGGGTGAAGGGAGATTGTGACACTGCATGAGAGTGCTATTGAATCTGACACCTGAGACAGATGAGCACTAACCTGGGAGGAACTGCCAGGGCAGTAGGGTAAGGGGAATACTGCAGACTGAGAGGGGACACAGGAAACTACCCACAGCGGGACACCATGGGAGTGCCTGTGCAATGATGCCAGTGAGGGAAAAACATAGGGGGCTCCCCACCATCGCCACAGCATCTGTGATACAGCTAAAATTCCCCTGCCCTGCACGTGTGTCTTAGTTATCTAGTGCTGCTATAACAGAAATACCACAAGTGGATGACTTTAACAAACAGAAATTTATTCTCTCACAGTCTAGGAGGCTAGAAGTCCAAATTTGGGGTGCCAGCTCCTGGGTAAGGCTTTCTATCTCTGTTGGTTTTGGGGGAAGTTCATTCTCATCAATATTTCCCTGGTCTAGGAGCTTCTCAGCAGAAGGACCCCAGGTCCAAAGGACACACTCCACTCCTGGCACTTCTTTTTTAGTGACATGAGGTCCCTCACCTCTCTGCTCGCTTCTCTCTTTATATCTCAAAAGAGATTGACTCAAGATACAACATAAGCCTATAGATTGTGTCCTGCCTCATTAACATAACTTCCTCTAATCATGCCTCATTAACATCATAGAGGTTAGGATTTACAACCAAAACCAAACCAAACCCGTTTCCATTGAGTCGATTCTGACTCATAGCAACCCTATAGGACAGGGTAGAACTGCCCCATAGGGTTTCCAAGGAGCTCCTGGTGGATTCAAACTGCCAACCTTTTGGGTTAGCAGCCATAGCTCTTAACCACTATGTCACCAGGGTTTCCAGGAGAAATACATCAGATCACAAAATGGAGAACAACCACACAATACCGGGAATCGTAGCCCAGCCAAGTTGACACACATATTTTTAGGGACACAATTCAATCCATAACAACATGCATATTGAATTCCAGAGACCAAGCATCCAGAGTTCCTGAACCAGCACTAAAAAAACCTAAGGATAACAGTACTATCTAGTGGTTCTCGGAAGGAGATACCAAACCCACTACCACCGCATCATTCTGACTTATAGCGAAACTGCAGGGCTTAGGGAAGCTTCCCTGTGTGGTTCCCAGCACTGAGAGTCTTTGCAGAGATGGTCTGCCACATCTTTCTCCCATGGAGCAGCTGGTGGGCGTGGGCCCCAGCCTTTCGATTGGCAATCAGGCGCTTGGCTACTGCGCCACCAGGGCATCCAATCAGAAAATTTTCCCACAATAAACGGAATAAAAAATCTAAAACAGGACAGCAACAACAGCAAAAAAAGATAACAAAATGGTTTGAGTTCAACAGAAGATAGTAAAACATGCAAAATCACAAGAGAAATAGAAACACTCAAAATAAAACATGAAGAAGAGGAAATCTCTCCTATGGAACCAGAATAATGTGAAGAATTGATAATTTTCAGACTATGGTGCTGAATATGTTTAAAGAAAGCAAAAAGCACACAGAAAACAAAACAGATGAGAACAGGAAAAAAATGAAGGAACAAAATGAGAGACTTAACAAGGAAATTGAAAATATTAAGAAAAAAAAGAAAACTACCAAAACTGGAGAATAAAACATCTGAAATAGAAAAAGCTATGAAATAATAAGAGAGTAGACAGACATAAGACAGAATAAGTGAACTAGAATACAACATAACTGAATTTATCAAGTCTCAAGAGAAACTTGAGAAAAGAACAAAGAAAAGTGAACAAACCCAAAAGGAAATGTGGGATTCAATTAAGAAATCTAACATTGGAATTACTGGAATCCCAGAGCACCATGACAACAATAAAAGCACAGAAACAATTTTCCAGAATTTTCCCAGACCTGAACAAAGAACTAAGCCTGCAAATACAGGAAGCTACACAAACCCCAATCAGAAGAGATAAAAAAAGATCAACTCCATGACATACCCTAAAAAAATTCTTGAAAATCAAAGACAAGAGGAGAATTCTAAAAGCAGCCAGAGAAAAACACAATATAACATACCAATGGTCTTTTATAATAATTACTGTGGATTTCTCCCCAGAAACTCTAGAGGCCAGAAGACAATGGAGCAACATATGTAAAATACTGAACCAAAACAATTGCCAACCAAGAATTCTTTACCCAGAAAAGTTATCATTCAGAAACAAGAAGGAAATTAAGACATTCCCAAACAAACAGAGGCTCAGGGAATTTGCCACTTCCAGACCAGCTTTGCAAGTGTTTCTCAAGGGAGTACTCCAAATGGAAAGACAAGAACATTAAAAAATAAGTACAAAGTAAAGTTATCGAATACAGGTTGTATACTGATGTTTATGGAGGCACACCAACAGAAATGGGAGACAGACGAGCATATCAGGAATAGATTTATTATGTTAAGGTTGTTTGTTAACTGTTGTTCATATGTTAAACATTGTTGTCATTGTAATTTGTGTAATATAACATTTGTGGTAACTACTAAGAAATCACCAAGGAGAAACATTCAGAAGACAAGAAGGAAGATAACAAAAAGGCTTATCACAAGAAAGCACACAAATACAAACAAAGGCAGAAAAATCAGAATTAAAAAAACAAAGAAGATATGAAACACTCAAAAAGCAAACACCAAAATGAGTGAGGTAAACACTTTGTTTTCAGTAAGAACTTAAATGTAAATGGTCTAAGTGCCCCATGCAAAAGGCAGACAGTGGCAGAATGGATTAAAAAAAAATAAAACATGATCCATCCTTTTGCTGTTCAGAAGAAACACACCTTAGACATAAAGGCACAAACAGACTGAAAATAAAAGGATAGAGAAAAATATACCACGCAACAAAAAAGTTGAAATTTTTGCTTACTGAAAAATATTGCAGTAAACAAAAAACAGCAGGGATGGCAATACTGGTATCAGGTACAATAGACTTTAAAATAAAATCTATTACAAGAGATAAAGAAGGTCATTTCATAATAATAAAAGTGTCAATTCAGCAAGAAGATATAACAATTATAAATATATATGCA